AAAAACAGTGCTGGTCAACCAATGAGAACGTAATCAACAACTAGAAAGCAACCAAGCAATCATCAGCTTCCACCTTCGCCCGAATAGTACGTGGGGTGGTGATCGCAGTCGCCGCTAGCCATTTGTCCAATCAAATCAATCAATCAAATCAATCAATCAAATCAATCAATCAAATCAATCCATCAATCAATCAATCAATCATCGGCTATCCACTTCACCCGAATAGTACCCTCGTCCCCCGAATAGAGCGCGGGGACATCATGGATCATCATCCCCGTACCTGACCTGCGAATTTTGCCCCTTGAAGAATCCGATTATAACGACCCTGCGTTCTATTCGGCGGACAAGCGCAAGCGCAAGCGTGGGCGCGGTAGCGCTTGCGCTAGCTTAGCAGTGGTCTATCAGATTCCCCAGCTACTGCCCTCCCCCCAATAGAGCGCGCGATCATTATGGGTGCATGTAGACTGCAAATTGTCCCCAAAAATGCCGCTAGCGCGCCCATTCGTTCTATTTTGGAGGAACGACAGAAGCCAATGGCTGCCAGCTCGCCACGTCATCACCGCTAAACTCACCCTTGAGATCCCGACAAGCTGAGCTGGCAAACTGTGCGGTGACCATTACCGTTTTCAGCCAAATAGAGCGCCCGGTCTCGCGGCTCTCTACGACCGGTCGGGCGGGGTTAGACCGGGCAGTGCTTGGCGGCGCGCTCGAGATCGAGATCGCGATCGCGATAGCGATCGCGTTCTCGATCAGCAGCCCTTAGCTGCTGATGTCCCTCTCGCCAACCTACGCTTTCATTCTCCTCTCCCCCTCCCCCCCTATTCCTCCCCACACACACACACACACAAACAGAACTCGACAACGTGGCAGCAAAAAAATAAAAAAAAAATAAAAAACACTTAGGCACGTGGCAGCAAATCAAGTATCCACGTGGAAGCCAACAGTTTCCCACGTGGTCATTGATGCTATGACTCTGTAGCAAGCAACCAAACAAGAAAACAAAAAAAAAAAGCGAAACATGGTCATCGCAATCCGCCAGAGTCGCAGTGAATACCGAGCTTAACTGCGTGGATGTGTGTGTGTGTGGGTGGGTGGGTGTGTGGGTGGGTGTGTGTGTGGGTGGGTGTGTGTGTGGGTGGGTGTGTGCGTGTGCGTATGGGTGTGCGTGTG